AGAGCAGCCTGTCATCACGGAACAGCCCGTCCTACCCCAAACGTGTCTGCGGCTTTGCATTTCTGATTCTGTTGAACTGTCCAGCGCCCCGTGTCGCCTCCCGCTTATCTGGGTGCTGCCCCTGTGGGTGGGGTTTTAGGACTGAGGTGTGACCGCGCTGGGGGTTGGCGACTCTGCGAACACATCCGAGCTAGTTTTGAGTGAGCAAGGCAGGCTGTCAGCCCGCCGCCTGGCCGCCACAGCCTGGAGCGAAGCGCGCGCTAACCTGGCGTAAACCTGAGCCTCTGCCCGGCTTCAGCAGCCTCAGAGCTGGGTTTCCACCTCCTTGGCTTCTCAGCCAGCACAAGCTTTTCAGAACTGTTGAGGTTTGTGGTATCCGGAGGATGTGGTAGCTCCCCTCCGCACCCCTGCCTCGCTTTCCCTGCCTCTCCTGTGCCTGCTCCGTGAATGTCAGGATCGTGAGGCCTGCTGCGATCCCAAAAGCGTGGCAGGGAGGAAGCTCCAAAAGTTCAGGTGCACGTTGGGGTAAAAACATGTATTTAGTTTCAGATATCTTCTGTGCAAACACCAAGGATTTTTCTCAAGTTCTAAATGGTTTTGGCAAATTGAAGTCCACGGCTTTGGAGGGAGGGGATCTGCTGATGTTTCCAGAAGGCCCTTCTTAGGACTTGTATGAGAACATCACGGCTAGGAAGGATGTTGTGTGTATTAACGACTGGGTCCTCTTTGAGTTACCCTGCTGGGAGTCCTGTTTTGACAAGTGCTATTGTTTGGATCTAAGTTTGTTTGGTTCGGAATTATTTTATAAACTTGGTCAGAATGTTTGTCCTTGGGCTCCAGTTGCTGCTGAAACGAACCTGAAAATAACCTTTCCTTTCCAGATTCTTCGCTGTGTCTTCCAGCGGATCCTCAATGTCATTCTTATGCTGGAAAGTGGTGTGGGTTCCAGACCCGCAGTCCTTGCCATCACGTCGGCTGTGATCGGTGCCAGGAATCAGGCTATAAAATTCATCAGGTGAAGTACAGAGCTCTGGCACTGCCCTTGGTGGGTATGTCTGCTCTCCCTTCTGGCGTGCCTGCCTTGGCTGTGGCGTTGATAAAGGGATGAGACAAACTCGCGCTGACTTTGAAGTTGTTTGTGCAAATGAGGTTTAATTAAAATGTCTGTAATGGGAATTCACTGAACTTGCTGGCAGGGGGGGAAGAAGGTGCTGTTTGACAGGGAAGTGGCAGTGAGTGGAAGAGACCTGCCTTCTCTGTTTCGCTTTTGTGTCAGTTTTTCAGGTTTTGTAGTTTACTACAAAGTACTGTAAAAAAGATAAAAGATGAATATGAAGCTCCTGTTTCCTTAGTTCTTTGCTTTCTCCCGCTTAAAGTTCTGTTCGGCCTATGTTTATTATTCCCCCGTGCGGGGATCCGTGTTGCTGGGACGCGCAGTCTGCGCAGAGATCCCCAGACAGCATATAGTGAGTAGCCTGAGCATAGAGAAGCTTTTCTTACTGTCCTTCTACCTGTAGAAAGGTACTGGAAGCAATATTTTCTGCCTGCAAAACCAGGTTAATGTAGAGAGTAAGCAGGTCTGCTCTCTGACCGCGTCCTGT